CTCATCTGTACGGTCCTCTACCTGTAGTTGATCCACACGAAACACTTTCTATAGCTCATCTGTACGGTCCTCTACCTGTAGTTGATCCACACGAAACACTTTCTATAGCTCATCTGTACGGTCCTCTACCTGTAGTTGATCCACACGAAACACTTTATGTAGTTCATCCGTATGGTCCTTTTTTCGTGGCTCATCCATAAAAACGTTTTCTTACCTATAGTTAGGCAATATGCCAGATGATTGTACTAATTCAAATAACTCGTAAATACAACATGTTTAACGTAAATTACTCCTCCCCAAAATAATAAAATCACTATTGTTTTGTTGCTGCAACGTAACGTGCGATACGCATTGAAGAGAAAAACCAAGACAACGTATTAGTCATGCTATTCGGACATCCATCCCAACCAACGATTTTGTTATTTATGGGAACATTAATTGTCCTAAAGCCATGTGTGTGTGTTTATTGCTTTTGTCAGAAAACGAATTAAAAGCTGGAACAAGCAAAAAAAAAAGAACAACACGGACAATTTAAGCACAGACAGAAGTGGTTAGCTGTTTTTTTTTATTGTTCCTCTAAAGAATGCAGCATAAGTACGTGTGCTTGAAGAGAAGCCAATTCCGTAGTACTTGCACTGTTTAGCGTCTCATATTTTCCAACACTGTAGAAATTGATCTGATATTCATAAAAGCAGCGAAAGTGCAAAGGGTAACTTCTTATTATTTAACACAAGCAGAAACAAAGTGTCTACGGATACCTTTGTAGACGGTAAATATATACGTTTTCAGCGCTAATTACATAAACGCACAGTTCTGTAACATTTCTTTTTCAAATGGTTACTTTTATTTACCCATGGCTGCATCTTGTGACGTCATGGAGATTCCCGAGAATTGTGCTTCAAACGTTTATATACTGTGGGTAACTTTGAAGAAACGTTAAGGTTGTTCAGGACAAATGCATATACCGAAGAGTAGCCTGTCGTGCTAGATTTAAAAAAAAGAACGTTTGGGGGAAAAAATAGGGTTAAAGTTTTGTTATACGTCTCCTTCTTAATGGACACCTTGAATTGTATAGAGCTACTAGGTCCCTGTATATATATATATATATATATACAGAATATTATCCAACTGGAAACATTGTTTAAGGCATTCCTTTGGATCCTGATGTTATTATTACAAAACAAAAATAAACAATGACAGAATGTTTAAGAGTTGTTAAAAATGTTTACTGTGATTCTGTAAGAATATTTCAACTTCCAAACAAACGTGATACATTGTTTACTAAGAAATAACAAATAAAAATATTTGTATCAACCAATCACTTATCTAACAAGCTACACACAACTACATTTCATAATCTAAACCATTATTTGACAAAAGTGTGTGTGTGCGTCCGGTTATAACTGGCGAGATGATGGACCGATTGTCACCATACTTAGCCTGTATTCTTAAGCCTCTTCCCCCTGGAGAGTAACATATGAATGTCGGTGTTCGAATCTAACCCTCTGTGTTCCTCCTGGGATCACTGTATCTTCCGCGTGCGTTGAAATTATATTTAAATAATTAGTTTGTCGTCTAAACGTTGTATCTGCTTGTTTATACGATGATATGCTGAAGACAATGGGTTCTTTTATACCAAGTCAGCTCTATTCACAGATAAAGACAACAGGTCATGTGGATTTAAGTTCACAGATGAACATAATAGGTTACGTGGAATTAATTCAGTAAAAACAACAGGTCTTGTGAAATTAAGTTCACAGATAAAGACAACAGATCATGTGTAATTAAGTTCACAGAAAAAAACAACAGGTCGTGTGAAATTAAGTTCACAGAAAAAAACAACAGGTCGTGTGAAATTAAGTTCACAGATAAAGACAACAGATCATGTGGAATTAAGTTCACAGAAAAAAACAACAGGTCATGTGAAATTAAGTTCACAGGTAAAGACAACGACTCATGTGGAATTCAGTTTACAAAAAAGACAACAGGTCATGCGGAATTAAGTTCACAGATAAAGACAACGACTCATGCGGAATTAAGTTCACAGAAACGACAACAGGTCGTGTTGAATTACGTTCATAGATAAAGACAACAAAATGAGCAAAATATTTTGAGTTCTACGCCCATATCATTAATATTTAGCTTATTTAATATCTGTTTCTGTGATTACTTATATAAGCATGACAAAAATGTCACAAGTTCTAGCAAAAAGTGTCCAGGTTCAGCTTCAAACACAGTATACTACAAAGTTACTAAATTTCATTCTAAATTTTTACACTGTAAACTTATTAAATCTTAGAAATTGCAACCTCCGGCATTCGTTTGGCCCCCCTCAGATTTTGACTTTTTTGGCTATGTCACCGATCGTAATAAATCGAAGTGTCATGTAGACTATATATAAATCAGAACTGGGATTTCTAGGTTCAAATCTAACTTATCATAATGTCACACTCGGTGCTTTAGAAGATACGAAATAACTGAATCATTTTCACCAATAACTACAACTCCCTGTACTGCTGTGGTGTAACTAAGGAAAGTAAAATAAAACTACTTACAATCTATTTACATTTGTATCCCCCCCCCTATTTTTGCCATTAATTCCAAACCCACTCCATGACTACGAGGAGATGCTCCTCGTAAAATCTCCATGTGGTCATTGTTAGTCAACAATGACCATCATAATTAGTTGAAAACTGTAATTTTGAACATATATATATCGTAAGTTTAACTAAATCAGTTGGAACACAAATCTTTGTGTTAAAGATGTTCTCACAACACACACAGATGTGGATTGTGTGCAACAATTCTTCTCCTTCTGTAAAGACTAATTTTTTTTTATTTTTTTTTCCTATTCAGCTGGAAGTCATCACGGTTATTATTGCGTCTTTGAGAATTTTCCTAATCGTTTTCTTCGAATTTTCCCACTCTCTAAATTTCACGAGTGTTACACTAACAACGCGAAAAAAGGCTGAGGTATAAGTTACAAAAAAAAGGTAATGTAGAACGGTGTACATTATTTTGAACCTATCCAAAACTTTCTTCAAAAGTTAAAACCTTTTTTTTTTTGTTTGTTTGTTTTTGTATCATCTTGAACACTTAGAAAGTTGGACTTTTCCTAATTACGGAAGATTAAGAGCTCTGAAGGATTTGTGAGATTTTCCATAAGAACTAGGCCCGGCTTGGCCAGGTGGTTAGGGCACTCGACTCGCAATCTGTAGGTCACGGGTTCGAATCTCCGTCACACCAAACATGCTCGCCCTTTCAGCTGTGGGAGCGTTATTATGTGACGGTCAATCCCACTATTCGTTGGTAACAGAGTAGCTCAAGAGTTGACGGTGGGTGATGATGACTAGCTGCCTTCCCCCTAGTCTTACAGTACTAAATTAGGGACAGCTAGCGCAGATAGCCCTCGTGTAGTTTTGCGCGAAATTCAAAACAAACAAACAAACATAAGAACTAGTAGTCAGAAAAAGAAATGGGTTTTGTTAAAAGCAAACTAAAGTTTAGGAGGAGCATTTTCTGTTGGAATTTTTGTGTTCAGTAAGATCTTGGCAGTTAATGACCAACATGGTTTATACAGATGAAGATCTATCTTCAACGGCTTCCTTTTCTTCGTAACGTCGAATGCTATTTAATCGTAAACGTTCCAGTACTTCTGGATCTGGTGGAGAAACTGAGAAGATATGCTGATAGGTCATTCCAGCAATTATCCCTCCAAGGATTGGACCTAGCCAGTAAATCTGGAATATAGTTTGGAATTTGTAAAAATAATAATAATCATAAATACCAAAAACAGTAAGAAACAGGTTCGAGTAACTGCAAAATATATATATATATATTGAGAGAATAAAGATTGATCCAAATACGTCAGAAATAAAGTTATTGTTTCCAGAAAATACAAGTTGAAGCAAATTAACAAGAAAGTGGAATCTTGAAAGTAAAGAAACAAAGGTCAATAAATTTTCGAAAGATTATTACATTCAGGTACTCTTTAAAGAAAGTTTGGGACAAAGGTTATTGTGTTGATGCTATTCTTAAAGGTTAAAGATTTATGTATTGATGCTATTCTTAAAGGTTATTGTATTGATATAATCTTGAAATAAAGTTGAAGGTTATTGTATTGATGTAGTCTTGAAATAAAGCTGAAAATTATTGTAATGATGTAGTTTTGAAATATAGATTAAAATTATTGTAATGATGTAGTCTTGATCAATATAACATGAAATTAGCCTGATGTTATGAATATATTACGAGTCATAATCCAATAGCAGCAGTGGGAAGAAAATGTGGGAGTATCGTTTCCAACTTGTGAATAAAAATAAAAACACATGATAATTTATGAAAGATTGAAATAAATGGTTTAATTTTGATCTTTTTTCCCAGCCAGCATTTTCAAATTCGACATGAAACACTTTAAGGTATAAAAAATTGATTTTTGTAGTGAGATTCCTTATACATAGATGGCAGTATACTTAATAAAATACTTTACACTCACCCAGTGATATTCCCAAACCCCAGCAATCACAGCAGGTCCGAACGACCTTGCCGTGTTCATACTGGCACCGGTATATTTGATCTATAAAAAAATAGACGACGTAATAAGTGCTTTATCAAACACAAGATAGACAGACAAACAGACAGATAGATTGATAGTTTTTAGAACAACAAGATTTGCATATCGAAATAGCTTAATCTCGAACATTTTTCTTTAGATTCAATGCACATAAACACAGACAAGATGAAGGGTCTGGCATGGCCTGATGGTTAGAGCGCTCGACTGACAATCTGCAGGTAACGTGATCGAAACCCGTCGCCGAGCGTGCTCACCTTTTCAGTCGTGAGAGCCTAATAATATGTCGGTCAATCCCAATACTCGTTGATAAAGAGTGTTTCTTAGATTCATTCTCTCTAACCTATCACATCAAAGTTAGGGACGGCTACCGCAAATAGCCCTCGAGTAGCTTTGGAACGAAATTCAACAAATAAACAGACAAGACGATATCAAAATCTTATCACGTTATGCCAATAAATCTTACCCAACTTTTTTCTTTATCTATTCTTCCATTTTCTAATCCGATTAATTGAGTTTCTAATTATAACACTCCATTGCTTAATCCGAGGAACAGACGTTATTGTAACATTCTACTCATTAGTCCTAGATACTGGCTTTATTCCAACATCCCATTTCCTAATCCGAGGAACTAACCTTATAATAACATTTCATTTGTTGATCCGAGGAACTAACCTTATTATAACATTCCACTTGGTAATCCGAGATACTAATCTTCTGATTATAGCGCTTCATTCCTAATTCGAGATACTGACCTTATTATAACACTCTATTTCCTAATCCAAGGGAACTGGCCTTCGTATTATAACACCCCATTTCCTAATCCGAAGAAACTAGCCTTCTTATTATAACACTCCATTTCCTAATCCGAGGAAACTGGCCTTCTTATTATAACACTCCATTTCCTAAGCCGAGGAAACTAGCCTTCTTATCATAACACTCCATTTCCTAATCCGAGTAAACTGGCCTTCTTATTATAACACTTCATATCCTAATCTGAGGAAACTGGCCTTCTTACTATAACACTCCATTTCTTAATCCGAGGAAACTGGCCTTCTTATTATAACACTCCATTTCCTAATCCGAGGAAACTGGCCTTCTTACTATAACACTCCATTTCTTAATCCGAGGAAACTGGCCTTCTTATTATAACACTCCATTTCCTAATCCGAGGAAATTGGCCTTCTTATTATAACACTCCAATTTCTAATGTTAAAAGGTTAAAATTCAAGGAACTTGTGTATATATTTAAAATATTAAAATCCACAAAGGAACAACGCTTTCAAATACAAAATTAAAATCTTTATTTAAACTAATCAACAGTTGTAAAAGTCACTACATGTTTCAACGTGGTTTCACGTCATCTGCTTTATTCTTGTATATTTGTTAGTCATTTGCGTACTTTAGTTTCGTAGGTTACTTTGTTACAGTCACCCAACTGCTTTACAATGCTGGTGTTTAGCACATTAAGTTATGGAAATGAACACTCGACAGTCATATATATATATATATATATATATAATAGATATTCTTAAAATAAATATATCAAACCATTTGTATAACTTATTTCGTCCCACATCTCTTGTGCACTTTTGTCCCCATTTCTCTGTCTATACACATATAAGTGATTTATACTGCTAGATACATGGTTTCGATACCCATGGTGGGCAGAGCACAGATAGCCCTTTGTGTAGCTTTGTGCTTAATTACAAACATATATATATATAAGAGATGATGCTTCCTGACAACAACCTCTATCCAGATAAAACTGTAAACAAATGTAAATGAGTGTGTAATATATTAGTTCAAATATGGTTATTTCATCGTGAGAACTCCTGCTACTAAAATTCGTAGGCTGACCGCCCCCCGCATGATTCATGAATATCCTCTAGTTTTTGGCCCACCCTCTATATGTGGTATGTATTTTGAATAAAATGTCATCTATCTTGTACAGTTCACAAAGGTATTAAAATTGTTTCTGCAATTGGTAAGCCTACTTAGTGATAAATCTCTTCAATGATGACACATTTGCTGACACATTAGATGTAAGCTACGTTCTAGACCTTTGGTAACGTCAAACCAACGTATATTTCCTGCAGTGTAACAAGGCTCAGCAGTAGACAACATGGACTCGTTTATCTAATGAGAAAACTCGTAAGTCCAACATTAGCAAACAAACAGATAAAGGTAATCTGTAACTATGAGTCTGAGTAATAGGAAATAAAACAAACGTTGATAAACATATTTTTCAGTCTACTTCACTTTCAGCGACCGAAGATCAAGTTCTGTTCTTATTATTACATTTTCAAAATTGAAGGTGTTGTGTAGCGCACTCGAATATATTTCAAATCGTAGTAATTATTTTGGGTGTTTAAGGTTTCCAACATGTATAATCATTCTGTTATTATTTTATACAGATATGGTTTGTTTGTAGTTAAGCACAAAGCTTCACAATGGGCTATTTGTGTTCGGTTTCTAGCGTTGTAAGATTGCAGACATACCGCTGTGCCACTGGGGGGGGGGCACAGATATGGTAAGAATAATTTAAAATTTTGAGAAAATTACGAAGAGTTCATTTTCAAAGTACCTAAAAGCTTGTTGCATGAAAATGTTTTCCTAACTTCCAAAAACAAAGATCTTGTCCCCAAAACCTTTCAGGTTTAAGGTTGTTAGTAGTAACAAATATTGTTTCTCTAAAGAATACAAACAGTTTATATAACCCGAAGAAGGGCTGTTGCCCGAAACGTTGTTTTGGTGTTTTATTACTAAAATTATTTTAAGTTGGCGAGTTTTTTTCACCATTATTCGATATTCTATTTTGTTTTTTGTTATTTCCTCGCCTACGCAATTATTTTATTACTGTAACTAAGGTGTGGGAGTTGGCCACGTGATGATATTTCTTCGCAGAGAGCGAATCTTTCTTAGCATGGCTTTAAAATAATGTTTAGCTATATTTATTGAACTCGGCTGGGTTTTGTAAGGAACACTTATTATTAAATTACTGAAAGATGGGAAAGACCTTTTTTTCGTGTGGTAATTTTAAAATTACCTGTTTATTATCTAATATTCGTGAATGCAAAAAAAGCGGCGTCAGTAACCCCGTGTGTTCAACGACGTGGCACGCGAGCCTTCAAATAAGATAACTTAAAACTACAATGGGTTAATTCATAATAAAATGCGTTATGATATATTCTACCGTCGATATCTGTAGTTTTCCAGTGGTACGGCGGGTAAATCTATGGAGTTACATCGCCAAAATCCGCGGTTCGACTCCCCACGGTAAACACTACAGATGGATAACCCAATGTAACTTTACTCTCAAACACATACACACATTTATTACGTGTAAAACGTTGAATAAATATAAAAACTTTGTAAGCCACGTTTATCAAGGTTGAACACTTTTCAGTATTTTATCTTTGAACTTATCAACTTATGACACTATAAAACATTGATAAACAAGTGGTCGCAAACTGGTTGATTCCAGTTACATTCTAACCGCTTACATCAGATAGATTTTCCGAAGTACACTTTTTTCCTCTTTTTTTTTGAACAATTTTCTCCACGTGCACGCAAGATAACCCTGAGATAACCGGAATAAGCCGCAATGATCTGGGTTTATTCAACTCCATCTTGAAAGAGAATTATCTTGGCATTTCTTTGCTGAATATTTGAGTGTGGGTTTGGTTGTTAGTTGACTTAATGTACCATAGATAACAAAAAAACTCAAACACCACTTCACCTGTTTTGTACAATAAAATGTAATTTGGAATTCTTAATCGCGCGCTGTTTATCAGACTGACGTTGATAAAAAGTTAAACGAGCTCAGGACACAAAGTATACTGCCTTTCTCAGATGCCGTTTCAGGGCGCAACGAGAAATAACGTTGAGTACAGTTAGCCTTCAACCAGTAAACTAATATTTGGTTTGGTTTCGCGCAAATCTACACAAGGGCTGTCTGCGCTATCCGTCCCGAATTTAACAGTGAAAGACTAGAGGGAAGGCAACTATTCATCATCGCCCACCGCCAACTCTTGGGCTACTCTTTTACCAACGAATAGTGAAATTGACCGTTACATTATAATGCCCCCACGGCTGAAAGGGCGAGCGTGTTTGGTGGGATGGGGATTCGAACCCATGACCCTCAGATTGCGAGTCAAGCGCCCTAACCACCTGGCCGTAAACGAAATAAAAATTTGATCTAAGTAAGTTTTCTCTTCCAGACTTGTAATGAATATTTAATGAAATTTTACAAGTTCAACTAGTTTTATAATCGCGATAACTCTGTAAAAGGCCGTTTATAACATCCGTTTTCTTTCTTTTTTTTTTGTTTAGCATAGGGTGCCTTGGGCAGCAGGGAATCTTTTTAATTTACTTTTTTGTTCAATTGGCGAGATTTGATTTGTACAAAAACATTGTAGAATCATAATTTTGTTAATGATTTTAAAATGAAATTATGTTTGTGCTTTGCTATGGGGCCGAACTTGGAAAAGAGGTTAGCATGATGAAATTTTGAATCTGAGAATTCATGGTTCGCGGCTCCTTTGCTGCAATAAATAAAATAAAACAAAAAACGCGCTATGCACTTTGAGGCAGTGGGTGTACAATAAGGGTGACGGTCAAATCCCACTATTTGGTCAAACAAGAATGGTCTAAAAGTTGACATTATATATTGTTGAGTAACTAGTTGACTTCCCTCTTGTAGGCCCGGCATGGTCAGGTGGTTAGGGCGCCTGACTCGCAGTCTGCTGGTCGCGGGTTCGAATCCCCGTCACACCAAACATGCTCGCCCTTTCAGCCGTGGGGGCGTTATATTGTGACGGACAATCCCACTATTCGTTGGTAAAAGAGTAGCCCAAGAGTTAGCGGTGGGTGGTGATGACTAGCTGCCTTCCCTCTAGTTTTACACTGCTAGCCCTCGTGTAGCTTTGCGCGAAATTGAAAACAAACAAATTATTCATCTGTCACCCAGTCCATCTTTTACTAGAAAACCCTAGTTTTCAGGATCCACATATGTGCATCTCAATGAAGGTTTATTTTAAGGCATGATCTATCTTAAAATCAATCACAATTCGAGAGACTTTTGTTTGAAAATTGTTATCATGCACCAAAGGTTCATTTTCTTCCTTTACTTCTATAACGAAGCACTTGAGGAAAATTTCAAAATGATACTTCTTTGAGCTTTTAACGGAGATAATAATTTTGCCAACATAGAGTTGTGGTTTTGAACAGTATCCCAACTTAAAACTAAAGGAGAAACATGACCCTCTTCACCACCCTTTACAGGATATTGTTTATTTGTAAAATTGCAGAAGAAAAATCTCCTCTTTCAATAGCTATCAGCCACCCCTGATTCCAGTATGCTGGAAACCATTGTAGGTTGGTTGTTTTTGACGTACCTATAGAACACCAGAAACCTTCCAATGAAAGATATCGTTTTGCACAGTTTGTTTGTTTGTTTGTTTCACAATTTAGCATAAAGCTAAAGATAATCCCTATCAATCTAGTGGTTCGTGTCCCGTTGCCGCAAAATCGCGCTCCGCACTTTGGGGCCGTGGGTGCATTATAAGAGTGACAGTCAAATCCCACTATTCGATTAAAGACGCTTAAGAGCTGGCGGTGGTTGCTGTAGACTAGTTGCCTTTCCTCTAGTCCAGGGGTCTTCAAACTTTTTTTTGACAAGGGCCGGGAAGTAGATCTTTTTTAGGCTTCGCGGGCCGGAGGGGTCGTGGTAAAATTAAGTAAGGATGCATACATGATCAGATTGGCTTTTGCTCAATTACGTTTTATTTTTTGTTTTTATAATATTAAAAAATTATATCATTTCTTTAATAAACTGTTGGCGGGCCGTAGTATGGAGACCCCTGCTCTAATCTATCAGGTTAAAATTAGGGACGAATAGTACAGATAGCCCTTTGTGGATCTTTGCCCAAATATCCAAATTAACCAAAAAACAAAGCTTTTCTGTTGCGCGAAAGGCTTTTCATACAGTGTTGAAGATCTGAATTTCAGTTAAACCTCACAACATTTTTATCAATTTTCAACGAGACACTTTCACTGTTATAATAAAATTTCGTTCATATTTTGAAAGATTAACTGCTAAGGCCAATTATTATTTTTCTTTACATCCATTTATTACTAAAAATAAACGTAAATTTAGTTGATCTTCATCACAACACGCAGTTATAAGATGAATAAAGAACATAGTAAAAAACAAAACCGAAATGAAAACTGAGCTCGAACTAATGTTACTTATTTGAGTGCCTAACGCTTTGAAAATTGAAAGCTCTATATCAGAAACAATTTTATCTTATTTCATACTGATGGTTTGTTTGTAATTAAGCACAAAGCTACACAATCTGTGCTCTGTCCACCACGGGTATCAAAACCTGGATTCTAGCGTTGTAAGTCTGTACCACTGGGGGGGCCATACTGATGGAAAAGTTAAAAATTAAACACTTAACCATTCTAACTCTCCTGATATGTTCTGAACTTGTGTAGTACGTCTGTTATGTTTCGGGTCACATTGACCCATTACAATTTTAACTAAAAAAGAAAGAGCCTTGAGTTAATAAAATATTTTTTTTCTGCATAGATTTTCATATTTTACCTCATATATCAGAAATTATTATAAATTCTCATTACAGTCAATTGGAAGATATATGTGCATCATAACATTATAGAAACAAGTACATGATCAGTTAGACTCGAAATATAATAGGAGTGGAAGAAAAATCAAACGTTACTCCAAAGTTACCCTCCATCCCCATTCAAAGCAGTATTTTCTGGTTCTCTTAGTAAAGATATACTTGAATCAGTATACTCACAGCAAACAGGTGGCAAGTTGTCACGGAAAGCCCAATGGCCAAAGGAGCAGATCCTGTGACGTCTAACCTGTTGTTGTCACAAACAGAAAACACCGTCAGGACCAGGATGAAAGTTATGGAGATCTCTACAATACATCCTTGGATAGGATTTAGATGCGCGTGAACTGTGGTGGCCCCTAGTGACCCCTGCTGCTTTATAGGGGTCAGTGCCTTTAAGACTGCAGCTCCTGTAATAGCGCCCAAGCACTGAGCACTGACGTAGAAAAGAGCTCGAATAAAAGAACATTTTTTTGTAACTAAAAAAGCCAACGTGACAGCTGGGTTGATGTGCCCACCACTAATGTGACATATGGCCTGAACTACGGTACCTACAGTAACTCCGAAAGCTAGAGCTATCTGGACCATAGTCGGTTTATAGTCTTCGTCCCAACCGGAGATACAGGAACCGCAGCCGACAAGCACCAGAAGCGCTGTTCCGATGAACTCGGCTAAGAATGCCTTCCATAACGTGCTTCTGACGGTAAGTTCGTCAATTCCGCAAACCGCTCGAAACTTTCGAACGCGCCCCATTCTCCCAGATATGCTCAATATTGATCAGTGGCGTTAAGAGTGTAATCGCGAACACGTTCTATCAGTTACAACCTTTCCTGGTAGGCTAATATCGTTAGTAATTTTTGGCCGTGAGCTAAAACCGTACCCAATCAGCGAGCGAAAATAAATCCTATCAGCCGTTAGGTAAACGGACCGATATCTGACGTCACGATCCTATGTCGAACACTCGTAGAAACGCCCGTTCCCTGTAAATCCCGGATGCCTCTAATGTTATATCAAATCCAATAAGATTCCAATAAGTGAGTGAATTCAGAGATGAAGCTCATACGGTAGGACGTAGTTTATGAGTCAAATACACTCAACGTACATTACAACGCGAGACTCAACATACATTACAACACGAGTAAGGCTTCCAAATATCTATACCTCTAAGAAGAAAGTCGACTGGCGAAGGACTCTTGCCAACTACAAAAACGTCTCCGCTCACATGTACAAATAGCTTTCTAAAAGACGAATGGCGACAAATCACATTATAAAACATCATAAAAGAGTTGGTATTAGCGACAATTAATCATGCCTCCCCCCCCCCATGGGAGTAGGTTATTTATAATGTTCACAATTAACTGGGTTTAAATGGGGGGTAGACAGAAATCTCTAAAGATGGGTGCTACGTTTATAGGAAAAAAACAAAAACAAGTGGCTAAACCATAATGCGGAGTCCGGGGGGGGGGCATGCCCCCGTAAGAAAATGTTGCATATTTTTGCTGAAAAATGTGCGTTTTGTTGGTACTGGTTTTGTTTGTTTGTTTATTTATTAGTAAGCTCAAAGCTACACAATCAGCTGTCTGTGTTGTGCCCGCTACGGGAATCGAAACCCGTTTTTTAGCGTCTTACTTACTGGTATCCAAGAGTGTTTTTTTATTAGATGCGAGAGCATCCGCTTCACCCCCTAAGCCTACTCGTACATGTGTGGAAAAGATTAAAACAGCCATAAGAGGTGTGACAAGTAAAAGTAACGATAAAAATGGATCTGCAGCTTCATGACACTGATCCATTTAATGATGGAATAGTGTATATCGATAGAATGACGTATCTTGATACAGTAACTTATTTTGATTTAATGACGTATCTTGATAGAACAGCGAATTTTCATAAAATGGCTTGTCTTGATAAAATAGCGTACCTTGATAAAATGACTTATATCGCTAGAATAGTGTTGTTGTTTTTTAATCAGACAGGCGGTAGCACTGTCTATGTCGGGATGGCTCGGATTGTACATCGAAATAGTATATTTAAATGTCTCCTCAGTAGGTCATCAGAACTTTACAATACTTTACAGTGTTTCCTTTTATAACAATAGCTATGTAGTGACTGAGTCGCAAGTTCTGGGAATGTCTGTAAATTTCATATCAAAAAGTTTGAATTTCTTGTTTTTCTTTCTTCTGTTTCTTTTTTTATTAAATGATAACTGAAAATCCAAAACAATGGTGTCAACCAGTTTCACTGCTTTTATAAGTATTATCAATAACTAGTTGTAATTTTAAAAATCATAATTCTAGTGTAAACGATGTTATCATTACCCCTTGAAGTTAGCTTTCCTATAGACATTTGGTGTTTCCTTTAAAAAACTTAAGTACAGGGTGAAACAGGAATTACCAGCCAATAATGGATAAAACAATAAATATTAGTTTGAATTTCATTGTATTTAGAACTTGGGTATAAGTACAACCTTCTCATGTTTGTTGAAACACTGCATTAAAAGAACAAGCAAACAGTGAAGAAAAAACTGTTCAAAAAAGGAAGTAAATGTAGGGATGGCTTATATCATTCCTTCCAATACAATGCAACAAGACAGTAGGGATGGAATTTGCATCATCCCTACATAATAGCGCAGGCGAGAATTAACTTATAGCAATATATGCAAACCACTGGCTTGTATTTTTATTTTTCACCAGGAAATAATAAAGTTTAAATGTTATAAAAATAAATAGAAATTATATGCAGACATGAATGTTAAGACTTGCCCCCCCTCATATATAACTATTCAATAACAATTGAGTTTAATTTATCCTATTTTTATCTGTTAACGTTCTACTACACTGTGTGTCTGTGCTGTTATGTAGGGATGATGCAAATGTCATCCATACTGTCTTGTTTGCATTCTTTTTGAGGGATTAATATTAGCCATCCTTACAATTATGTCCTTTGTTGAAAAGTTTTTTTCTTTAATTGTAAAATAAGTATATTAATAGAATGACGTATCTTGACGGAATAACATATCTTGATAAAATGATGCTCAAGATGCATCATTTTATCAAGATATGTTATTCCGTCAAGATACGTCATTCTATCAAGATTTATCAATTACTTTACCTTTTCTTTGTAGTTAAGCACAAAGCTACACAATGGGTTATCTGTGCTCTGCCCACCACGGGTATCGAAACCCGGTTTCTAGCCTTGTAAGTCCGCAGACATACCACTGTGCTTCTAGGGGGCATTACTTTACCAATCGGTCAGCAATTGTAGGTCTGTCATGACCTGGTAGTTAGGGCATTCGGTTCGCAATCTGCGGGTTGCGAGTTCGAATCCCGTCACTGAACATGCTTGCCCTTTCAACCATGGAGACATTATAATGTTACGGCTAATCCTACTTTTCATTTGCAAAAGAGTATCACAAGAATTGGCGGTGGGTGGTGTTGCCTTCCGTCTAGTCTATAGATTCTGAATTAGGAACGAATAGCTTTTTAGCGAAATTCCAAAAAC